CGGCGCCCCGGGAGCGGCCGCCTGTGCGCCATCGCCCGTGCTTGCAGGGCAGCTGAACTGCTCCACTTTACAGATGAGAAGGAAGAGGCTCGGGGGGCCAAGTGGCCCTGAGGTCACACAGCTGGTAGGGCAAGGCCAGAATTCCAAACTAGGACTAGTGGCCTCAGAGTCCACATTCCGCCCACCACTCCAGGACGCTCTGTGGCTACTTGTTGGGTACAAAGCCAGGCGCTAGGCACCCTGAGGATGTGGAGGGGAACGGACACCCTGGACACAGACAGACAAACACCCACAATCACACATGTGACCCCAGCACGTGGTGTGAGCACCACGATAAAGGACAAAGTGCCCTGGCATCAGGGGAAGGTGAGGGCCACCCCTCAGGCAAGGAGCAGGGGTGAGCACTAGTTCCCTCCCCTCCTGGGCTCCAAAGAAGAAGACCACTGGAGCATCCAGCAAGAATGTCCCTGGCCCATCCCAGGGGCTTGCTGGCCAACCAAGGTCCCATCCACCTCCAATCCACAAAGGCCACTGAGCCCAGGCCTCTCGCCAACCCCCTCTGTCCCTGTCCAGTCCCAGCCTAGCACATGAAAGCCAGTACCACCCAAGACACCCGCTCAGCCCCGGGGTCCCACTGCCCTCTGAAAATCACCCCATCACCTCCACCCTAGCCCTCACCAAGCATGATCCCAGTGTGGGCAGCAGCCTCAAGTCACCAAAAGCAACTCAACATTTCCATTTCCGGAATGCCGGGTTCTAGGCAGGCCCTGCCACCATCCGCCACCTGTCCTTGGAGAAATCACTCCACAATAATTGTTAAGTAGCTATGATAGTTCGGGGCAGCACGCCAGGCACCAGGCCAAGCACCCACCCGCACGCTCTCATTTAGTCCTTACAAAAACCCGAGCAGGTAGGGGTTTCTATCAGCCCCACGCTGGGCAAGAGGAGACCGGGGCTTACAGGGGCGGCACTTGCCTACGGTACACACCAGGCAGGGCTGGAACCAGGATTTGAGTCCTGTCTATGTCTGGCCCTTCTCTATGGGCCTCAGTTTCCTTTTCTGTCAGGCAAAGGGATGGACCTACATGATCCCTAAGTTCCTTTCCAGCTACAGAAAACCAAAAAGACATTTCTATAAACACGCTGTATGCCTATGCCTCTGGCCACACTCGCATGGCACACCCCAGCCCTGGAGACACGACGCTGCGCCCCAGACCCAGAATGCAGAGGCAGCGCCTGATGGCAGCCAAGGCCATGTGCCCCCCACTTCTCCCTGTCCCTCGGGCACGGCCCCAGGGGCGGTGAGAGGCACCGTTGCCCGGCCCACCCAGTCCTTTGCATCTCCGCTATGATGTCCACTCACTTCCCTCTCACTCCATGCAGGGCCACACCCCTGCAACTCCACGTCACCCTTCTAGGACCTCCCTCCTGGGCAACCTCTCTCTGCCTGAACCATCTCTCCCTTCTTCTCTGCCTCTGCCCACCCTCTCCTGCCTCCCCAGGTGGGTCCAGCCGGAAAGCAGCATTCACAGGGTCATGGAGCCTGCAGATTGGAACTTCAGCTCCTCAATCCCCACACCCCCCCCAGACGACCTCCCACCTCCACCGGACACCCTCAGCAAACAGAAGATGACTGGCCGCGCCACGCCTAGCTCAGTCCCGACATGCAGTGGGCACTTTGCCTACATCCATTCGCACTGAGTCCTCTCAGTGGCACCACACACCCGTCTTACAAAAACAGGCACCGCAGCTCAAAAGGGCCACAGTGAGGCCCAAGATCACACCCCCTGAGTGGACGAGTCAGGATTCGAACACAGGACTGTGTGACTCAAGGGCGGGGCTGTTCCCATGTACCAGGCGCCTCCCTAAACACTCTGTTTGATGTTTGAGGGCAGTTTGAATTGCTAGAGACAGGACAAACCTCCCTTCTTCTCCACGAAATCTCTCTCCCTGTGCATCAGGGGAGGGTGGGGCATCTGGATGCGTCCAACAGCACCGCGGCCGTAGCTCAGGGCACAGCCAGACCACTCCCCGCCCGGCCCTGGACTTAGGACTAGCTGACCCGTCACTGGACCCAGGGCTGTGGGGTGGGACTGGGCAGAGAGGAGGGAAGAAGCCGCCCTGCCCCAGGGCTCCTGGCAGTTTGCTTTGCCAACAGAGTCCCAGAAGGGCTTTCCAAGAACCCCAGCAGGGAGAGAGGCAGCAGACAAAGAACACACATTCCAGGGGGCCCCATAACAGGGCCCCAAATTCTCAGACAGGGATTGGCAAAGAGATAGCAGCAACTGAGTCCCAAAGATATAGCCCAGAAGGGACTCCATGTGCCCACGCCCCAGCCTTTCCATGCAGAGATGGTGGAGGGGGCAGCTCGCAGCCCCATTTGGTGTGTGGGAGTGGGGAGGGGCTCCCCACTAATTTCACACCAAGGCCTCCCCACCCAGCTATGGACCCAAGTCTCCCCAGACAGAGCCAGCCACCACCCGACCCCAGGGTGCTGCTGCTCTGGGTGGCGCAGAGTCAACAGAGGCAATGAGGAGGGACCGTCACAGTCCCCAAAGCCCTGCCCGCGTGGTGAGAGTGCTCCCGGAGCACAGAAGCCCAGAGTCGTGGGGGGCCCGTTATCTCTGGGCAGCAGGTAAGAGGGAGCTGACTCAGTGAGCTGCAGACCCAGTAATTTCCTCATTTGTCTTGTCAACATCTTGTCCCACAGAGTGTCAAGTCCATTACATAAAGATTTTCTGCTAGAAAGATACTTAAGTGTGAGCCCAGGAAGCAGCAGGGGCCGGGACCGAGGGGAGAACCTCTGAGCCTCCACGTCCAGGAGCAAGCGCAACTCATTTATTACCAGACGGAAACCCAACGGCACCTGTCCACGTGGCTCAGCTGGTCCGTAAGCTACAGGCCGGGGGGGACATGGGTACTCTAGGGGCTGCCAGGGCAACCCCATCATAGCACCCACAGGCCAACGACATCCTCAACCTGCTCCTGAGCCCCAGAGCACCACGGCCCCAAAAGGAACAGTCCCAGGTGGGTTTTCTACTTATCAATAAAACTCATCAGGAAATGTGAGGATCAGAATGTCTGTGCTATCAGCCCTGCCAGGCGGGCCACACTCACCATAGAGCTAGCACAGTCCCCATAGGCAGGGCCAGGAGGGAACCTGCTGTGAGCCCAGCGCCTCTGCCATCACCCCGCTGGGGGTTACGACGGTGAGAGCCCAGGGCAGGGTGCCCAACGCAACTGATCGTCTTTGAGATCTCCATCCGCCACCACCCGCCATTGCCAGAGCCCAAGGCCATGCCCGGACAGCCACCCTCTGGCCAGTGTCTCCCTCCTCATGGGCATCCAGGCTTTCTCCAGCCAGCAACACTCATATCACCCCCATTTCAACCTCCTAGAGCAGGGGTCCCCAAGCTAGGGTGAGTGGTATAATTATTGCATTATATATCACAATGTAATAATAATAGAAATAAAGTGCACAGTAAACGCAATGTGCTTCAATCATTCCAAAACCACCCCCCTTCCCCGGTCCGCGGAAAAACTGTCTTCCATGAAAACGGTCCCTGGTGCCAAAAATGTTGGGGACCACTGTCCTGGAACACACATTTTCAGTGGGAGGGGGGGGTGTCACCTCAAGGGAGCAAAAGTTGGCTCTTGGGTGAGCAAAAAAAAAAATAGATATTACAATGGTTTATGGCCCTCCAAAACTAGGCCCTTTGTGACAAAATTGTATTCCTTGGTATTTAATTTCTCTAATTAGGGAGAACTAATTTTTCTCCATAGGGGAACAAAAATGAAAAAAAAAATCATTGAGAAACACTGCCCTGGAGAATTCTTCATTTGAAAGAGCTCAGGGTCTCACTGGAAACCCTTTCCCAGGGTTCACAGTTGAGAGCAGCGGTTCTCAGGGGGCAGTGATGTGCTCGCGGGGGATACTGGGCACTTTCTGGGGACAGTTTTGGTTGTCACAACTTCCAAGAGTGCTCCAGGCATACAGTGGGCAGAGGCCAGAGACGCTGCTACACATCCTATCATGGGCAGGACCGTTTCCCCACACAAGAAAGAATTGCCTGAAACCCTGTTTAGAGCAATAGAAACTTCAGAAGAGTCCAAAGATGGCTGCAAAACTGCCTGTAAACCCGGGACCTACAAACGGGACCCCTATGCTCAGAGATCGCCAAGAACAACTCAACTCTGGCCCCTGTGAGCACCAATGGCAACTCCTGAAAGAGCTCAACTCCACCCACGCAGAGCAGTTCCAGGCCCAGAAGCCCCTTCCCTGTGCCCAAGCAGCCCAGGGTCCCCCAAATGCCAGAGGGAACAAGGCCAAGAAGAAAGACTCACAAAGCTCATCTGGCTCCTACACGTGGACCCTGGCAAGCAAAGCTAGAGCTCGACATGGCCTTTCTCATTCCCCAGAGCAGACCAGCATGGGAGTGGCCTGGGGATGGGAGATGCTTCCAGCAGACGCCTTCCTCGGTGCAAACTAAGAAGCAGAGCCCTCGGGGGAGAGGCCAAACCCAGAGCAGAACAGAGCATGGCAACACTCATAAGACCAACGACCACAGCTAGCATTGACTGAACGCTCATGACCATTGGCCATTTGGACCTCACACAAATCCAAAGAGGTAGGAACCGTTACTTTCCCCATTTCACAACCGAGGAAACTGAGGCACAAGGAGGTTAAGAGCTAGAAGAGCTCCAAAGCAGGAGAGCCAGGGAAATGGGAAGAAGGAGCAAGGGCCAGAGAGGCAGGTGACATCAGGTTTCAGGTTCAAGCCCTACTCCATGACAGCCGCCATGCCGGGCAATTTACATAAACACTTTCCTCCATGCAAGCACCTAGGGAGGTCGGCGTCGTGGCCTCCTTCTTTACAGAGAGGAACTGGAATGTTCAGGAATGAGCTGATGAGAAGGAGAGCCAACAGACACCCAGGACACCCGAGTCCATCCACCACGTCACAGGAGAACTGGCCGAGTCCCGGCGAGAGCCCACTTACCTGAGAAGATTGAAGCGAGCCTGAAGATGTCCGACAGGCGGGAGGTCACGGGCTCGTAGGGTGAAGCTTCATAAAACTCCTCACCTGCAAGAGAGAACCACCATCAGACACAGGCTCCTCCCGTGCAGACTGTCCCCCAGCACGTAGCGGATCTGCCCCGGGAACGTGCCACTGCTGGGGCTGGGCTCGTGCTGCCAAGTAGGTGAGAGATGGGGCAGCCCTTCCCAAAGCGAAAAGGGCTGTGCCGGGGCGAGTTAGGGATGAAGTGTTTATCATTTCACACGGAAGGCATTTCTCTCCAGCTATAGGAGAAGCTCGCCCCGGTCAGAACTGCCTGACACTTCTCTCTCATGACCTCCCTGCGTGACCAGCCCTCTCTGAAGGACTTCCAGGAGGCCAGCGCCACCATAGGATTTAGAGCTGAAGAGTCCGCCACCATCACTCGGTACAGCTTCCCCATTTCACAAGAGAGGGCTCAGAGGCGGCCCAGAGAGGTGAAGCAACCTGTCTGAGATCACACAGCTACTCCCAGAAGAGCCAGAGCTAGATCTGGTCTCCTGGCCTCACACAGGTGAACATTCCCATCACACCACGCCGGCTCTGCCCAGGTCACTAAGGACAACGGAGTTTCTTCTTTGTTTCCCACCGTGTCACCAGGAGAATCTTGCTGGAGGGGCTGAAAGTCTCTGAGTGGGTGGCCTGACCCCCAGCTCCTGGCCACCTGACCCCCTCCCTCAGGCCCCACCTGTCCTCCCCACACCTGCCAGCTCTTCGGACCTGTCTCTGAGGCTTTGAGGGGGCATCGAAGGCTCGGGAATGGAAACACAAATGAGCCACAGGAGACAGATGGCCCAGGGCTGCCTTGGAGACCCCCACCTCCTCATCAGGAACCCCACTGCCCTTGGCCAGCACCTCTGCAGGAAAGGAAATGCCCTCTGCAGACGATACTGGTGAGAAGAAATCAATGGCTGATCGCTCGGCCTGCATGTGTGTGGCAAGGGGGCAGGGAGACAGGTGACCAGAGCCTCACATCCAGCCAGGGCCCAGTGCCAAGGGTTGGCACCTAAGGGGGCACAGGTGCAGCAGCATCCAGGGGGTGCCTGCAGTAAAGTGCCACTCATCCAGGAGTGGGACAGGCCCATGTGTCCTCCTGGAAGGGGCTCCGTCCTGTGGTCATGTGGTCACCCAGAGGCGAGCACTGGAGACTCTGCTAGGCCCCTGCTGGTTCAGG